GAGAGAGCAAATAGTTAAATATTGTTTTTAATGCAGAAAACTTTCTTTCGTGCATTAAAACAACAAAGGAATACTTCCTTTTTAGGATAAATGAAAATGATGTTATAACAGATTAATTACAAAAGGAAGCAAAAATTAAGTTTCGTAAAACGTTTCTTCTTCAAAAATTACACTACAAATTTTGCACTAACATGGGGGGTCGCAAATTAAAAATGACTCTTCAGATTTGAGTTAAAATAAAAGATCTTCAAATTTGTCAAACACACACAGTTTTTTTTCGGAATTTGAAGTTTCAGGCTGTAATATGTAAATGAATGAAATTAGCAATGAAACTATTACAAGAATGAAATCTAAATTGTAGTTTTGTTGAGAATGTAGTTACTGTAAAACTTATTTACTTCAAGTTTAACCTTAGTAAGCACTTTCTTTTCCGGCGCACTAGCGGCCGAGCGGTGATGTGAATGGTGAAATCGCTGAATCCTTATAAAATGACCTGGAAAACCATTCAGAAGGTCCTCCGCGAAATACCATTTTCGCGGATGGTTCTGAAATACCATTCAGAAGTCCTCCGCGAAAGCATCCCTCCCTTTGGGCAAACAGCCCTTGCGTGCTTGTCATAGTCGAATGAACCACACTCTTTCTTTTCCTTTGTGAAATTGCCTGAGGCAATCGATGCGCTGGCAAAAGAAACAACAATTCAAAAATAAATAGAGACTGTTGAGATACAGAGTTCAAAGAGGAAGGCTGACTATAACGAAAAATTTTATATATAAAATACTGATGGAAAAATTAACTATCTGGAAGGAAGAAGAATAAGGGTTACATGAAACACGTATGAATTTAAAAAAGGACATATGTACCATGACATCAGCCAAATTTTAACGGGTCACGACAGATTACCCATCCCATCTTAAGAGGTCCAAAATACAAGCAACAGCCAACTGCAACGAGATAGGCGACGCAAAGCATTCGTGGAGACCTGTAGAATTTTTAATGGCATTAGAAATGATTTAAAATAAAATAACGACTTTAAACATAGAATTAGTTTTTAGGAAATCCTGACAAAAACGAGAAAAAAAATTCAAGGAAAAAGCAATGGAACATTTAAACTCTAATAAATAGAATATCAGTGGGCGTCCTGGTTTAGTGTGTGTGCGGAATTTATGCTCCTCCACAAAATGCTAAAGATGGAGATGACCCAGTCATGTCATAAGGCGGGCCGCCGTAGCCAGGCAGGCAGGGTCAGTCCCCTTAACTAATTAACTAAAGAACTATTTGCTATCCAGTGGCTTTGGCGAATTGTTTTAAAGGTACATACTCACTTTATTAAAGGCAGCGTTTCTTTTATTAGTCTTCTTTCCAAATTTATCGTATTTTGAGCAACTTAAGTTAAAGTTCCTTCCCTTGGTTATCTTTTGCGTCTCATTATTTCTCAGTGGAAAAAACATCACATCCTTGTTTCTCATTTTAGGCAAACATTTCTGAGGAAGAGCCTCATGCATCAGAATTTTAACACTCATTGAGCAACCTAAAGTCTCAATTTTCCAGCGCATGTTGAATAGGAAAAAGAGGAGGAGGAAAAGATAATTAATTTATAGTATGTGTGTGTGTGTGTGTGATTATGGAAAAGCCTCGAGGCGATCTGCCTAAGAGAGGGATGCCTTCGTGGAGGACTTCTAAGGGAAACTGGCTCGTATACACGTTACACATGGGGAAAACCACGAAAACGCCCATGCAGCCAGCCCGTTCGCGGATTCGAACCTCGGAACCGAACTACCAGTGTTCAGCGACTTTACCGCTCGGCCGCTGGTGGGCTTAATTTATAGTAAATTGTCATTTAATAAGGGTTCATAATAATTGCATTTTTATCTTTCAAATTTAAGCAATACTTTGCTCAACTAACTGAACGATATAAAAGCAATGTACGGACTTCTTAATAATTTATATCTTTATTTTGTATTTTAATAATATCTATAACTGATGTAATTAATGGCACAACTATTTTTTTAATTTAATAACATAACGAATTAATAATTTTTCTAAAAGGTTATGTCCCATTTCAGGTTTTCTTCAGATGAGGCTTTTTTTTAAATTGTCCCACCTCAACATCTCTCGATGCGGGTAGGTAAGATTTCCCATTTGAGCCTTCCCATTCAGAATAAATGCTAAACCTGAAAATGTTATATTAAGTCATGTGACTGTTAAACATGTGGAATGATATCACAATGATGCTCCGCCCCTTAAACTTCTATTCAGACTATAAATCGATTCAACATTAATGTCACATAGTAGTAATACCTAATACAGTAAACAGGAATATATTTTTTATTTGACTGCAATTTTCTCTTTTGCTCTCTTTAATCAAAAATCGTGAAATAACTATTTTAAGAATTACACAAGTTAAATAAGAGCAAAAAAATGAGAACTTTTGAGGAATGGGATTAGCATTATACCTAATTTTAAAAATATAATGTTCTAAAGACTTCGTGATACTGCTACTGCAGTTTTTAATCAATTAAATTCATTAGTTTACTGAATACTTTTTTTCAAAAAATGCGCGTTTGATCATGGAAGAGAATGTTAACCCGTATACAAAGAAACCAATTTTTGATGATTCTATCAAAACAAATTATCACACGTTATTCTGATAGAGAAGATACGTCTTCCCCCCTACGCCGGTTGAAATAAAATGTTCTTCATCCAATTTTTCAGTTTCCCTTATTTTACGCATCGTTTATTTAAGATTATTCAAAACATTTCAATTTAATTTTTTAATTTTTGCTTCCAAAGCAAATAGAGGATTTTCTCGCTAACAAACATTCGATGACCAATAAGCGAAAGAGATTTAATATGGAATCAGTTCAGTCAGTCTAGTACGCACACAATACAGTTTTCAGCTTTGATATTGCTTTTGTGCGGATTATTTATTTAAGGAGACAAAAGCATTCTTCCATTATATGAAATAAAGTCTGAAACGGTGCGACTTCTGATGTTCTCATTGCGAACACAAGCGGAAACAGTTTGAAATTGCACGAATTTTATTGCTATTTCCAGAGAACCTGAAGTCGGAAAAGCTGAAATGGGATATCATATCATAAAGATTTGTACCATTATTGTATCTAAAAAAAGAAAAGTAAAAGCAAAAGATTTTTAAAAAGTATGTTTCTGATGTCATATACTTTTGTACCTCAGCATAACCATTTGCGCGTTGGTTAACAATGAGTTTTAATGCGCATTTCAATAATGACGCAAATTTATAATTCTCGTTACTGTCAAGAATTTAGTAAACGTACATTTGAAGAAATTTCTAGCCTTTCCTCTAATTATTTCACTTATCATAGATATGAAGTTTTCAGCTAACATCAGCCTTCTAAATATCTAGGCCAAAAAACACTTTCTTTAATTTTGCTTATAACTGTTTAGGAAACTTTGTGGGTGGCACTTAAAACATTCTTCACTTTTTTTCCCCAATACTTTAACGGATTTTTTCATAAGGCCCAGATGCATGACAAAAGTGACAGTTTTCCCTTTTTGAATGGACAAGGATTTTCTGCAAAATATTTTTACCGTCGGGGTCTAAAAATTTTCGTTTTCGCTATCAATTTTGCTTTCACTTCATAGAATATTCATAGACAGAATGGAGATATCTAAAGGCTAATTTATTACTATGAAGAACTAAAATGAATGCATAGAGGACCAAAAAAGACGTTACTCCGATCCTCTTACGTAATTCGACAATGAAATATAAACTAAGGATTAATTATTACCACACATTCTTCTAAAATAAGTCAAACTCTTTCTACAAAACATAACGTAAACTGTTTCTAAAAATCCACAGTATGGCAAGCGTAAATCAAAAGAAATTTGCATGAAAGATTATACAGATAAGAAAGAAGAAAAAAATCAAAAGTAAATTGCTACCCCTTCAAGCATAACTGTCTTTCTTCATTAAAAAGTAAATTTCTGCCCTTTCAAGCATAGCTTTCTTTCTTTATTAAAACTTTAGGAATAGTAACAGCGTCGAGATGCTAAATAATTTAATCTAATAAGTTTTCTATTGAGACAACTAATTTTTATCTCCCAAAACCAGTTGTAGTTTGAAAACGGTTTGATTGATTTTGATTAACAATTAATCAGTCGACCTCTCAGTTAAAAATACAAGTTTCTGTCGCAAATGATTATTTCAAATATTTCAACAAGATCCAGCCACATTAATTTTAATATTAGCGATTAATATTAATTTCGTATTGTAATTCAGTAATATTGATATTCGACGTGCAATTAAAGCACGTTGAATTTATTAAATGCGTAGCTTTAAAATGCTTAGCGACTGAGAATTCATCGGATAATTGCAATTTTGAGAAATTCAAGCATCATTAGTTCGTAAAATTATCATAAAGATCAGACATACGACAGTTACGGCATTCAATGGCCTCTGCAGTTGGTGGGAAGGTCCGGTTAAATGTGTAATTAAAAACAAAAGCCATTTCTATGTCTTCAAATGCTCATGTTTCCATTTTTCATATCAAATAAATGATAAGAAAAGAAAACACGGTTCCTTTTCCCATCAGTGATTTTACTGCTTTTATAACTAAAGACACTAAAAGGCGATAACATTTGTACCTACTACCCTACTTTCGTAATTGTATACAAACACTGATTTGTACTAAATTTTTCATCTCACATATACGGAGATTTGGTTCTTTAAAAAAGACACGTAACACTTAATTTTCTGTTTCAGACTATAAATTAACTATAACTATAACTATAAATTATTTAATAAGACATTATTCGTATAGCACTATTTATTTACTCAAAAGTGAACTAAATACTATTTATTTACACATAAGTGAGCTAAGAATACAACTTTCTTCACAAGTTCAAACTAGCGCGATAAACAGACGCCGTCAACCGCTTTTTGATTGGAGAACAGACACCGGACACGGGATTTCACGGAGCAACAGTTGCGCAAGTGAACTCTCGCATAAAAGCGCTACTCGGAGTTGTAACGGCCGCAGAACTTGAGATGGAGAACGTTAACCTGAACAGCACTGGTAACAACACAGTGGAGATCGGGCAGGTGCCCGTCCTCAAAACTGCACATGACATTCTACTGGTGGTCCTCCTCGTAGCTGTAATGTTTGCTATGGGATGTCACATAACATGGGAACAAGTGAGTCAATATTTGTATTATAAATATTGTATTTCGAGGTTATATTATATAGATATGCTTTCATGAGGATAAATATCTTGGAACTCGTATAGTGCATCTATTTTACAGGCGACAATGACCTAATGCGTGTATAGCTATTTATTCTATGCAGAAATAAATTGAGGGACAAAATTTACAGGTTTAATCTAGAGATACTATACCGAAAGCTTCTAATTTATTTGATTTATGAAAAAAATATTCATAACCAAGATGCATAATAGGCATTTTAGAGCAAATAAATTAATTCAGGCGTAGCATTCATCCGGTTCCTACGGAAACAAATTAATAACAGAGCATAGTATCTGCGTGCGATGCAGCACATAACATTTAAAAATTACCTCCTTCTTGTCTTTAATTAAAATAATTTTTTTAAAAAGTGTATATATAACATATAAGCAAACACCATTTGACCTATCTCAAATTCACGAAGCAACTGATCAGGTATTGGGATTCTCATTTAGTAATTCAACATTTGATAAACAATTCAGTGCTGAAGCTTAAGTCTAATAATGATAATTTCATTAAATACTGCCAATCACTTTATATCAAAGAAAGAGTTAATATTTATATTTCTTCTTTAAAAAAGTTAACAATAAATACATAAATAAAGTGCCGTACATCTTGGAATCATTCGATTAACTCTAGCAGCATTCAATGGCTATCAAACATTTTATTTTTATAACTTAAATCGATGTGAGAATTCGTTCCTCGAAGAGATGTAAACACAGCTGTAATAATAAAACTTGAATGGATGAAAAGTAAAAAGTGTATACATCAAGAATCCTAAGGCGAAAAGTAGCAGATTAAAACTTTTCTGGGAAGAATTCACGGAATTTTCTTTTCACTGTAATCTTTCATAAATATCTCGAGATTATTGCTTCTTTTTTACATTTAAAGAAAATTAGATACCGTGAACTTCTTTCTAATACATAGACAAAGCTGCAACGAAAGAATTAGATTAATTGAGGCTGATACGACATCCATCCTTTGACAATCGTTTGACGATTAAACAGACAAGGAGCATGATACCACATAAAAAAGGAACGAATATATGACAGCCATAAAGAGATAAACACGAATCACTTTGCATTCTGTTGATAAAAAGGCGTTTATATCCAGAAGCGATAAAATGAAAAAGAACTGGATTAAATTCCAGCTATTTAAAAGCGGACCATCATTAAATTTCATTTATTGAATTCTGTTGATAAAAAGTCGTTTATATCGAGAAGTGATAAAATGAAAAGAACTGGCTTAAATTCCAGCTATTTAAAAGCGGACCATAATTAAATTTCATTTATTGAATTCTGGTTTCCAAGTTTTTACCGTATTTGGATACAAAAACTGCAGCAAAATCTTACTATACGATTTCAGAATTGTTGCAAGCATTCATTTTTGAAATATGATGGACACTCGGCGCAGAGTTAAGTTTATAAACATTACTCACTAGAGGGAATTGTTGAGGAGAAAATTTCGAAAGTAAAAGTTCAGCATTGTTTGAAACGATGCGCATGGCCTCGTTTCCTTTCTTGCCTACAGCAATAGGTCAAGCCAGCTATTGCCGCAAACAGTGGCGCTCTCAGCATGTAATTTATCTAGCCTCCTGCACGTTTAAATCTTTTAGTAGTGTTAAGAGTTGCTACTTTAAAAATGCACTAACCTTACCGTGGATTCTTGCCTTTATTGAATATTTGCACTTAGTATAAAATCAAAATTATCATTGTGTTACGAATACCAGGAAAACGTCGATCATTTCTAAGAAGGAACTATTTTAAAAGAATTAAACTTGGATAAATCAACGCTGATTATGGTCTATCATCAGATAGAGCTTTCCTTTTTTGGAGCACATTTTGAAAGTAGATGATTCTTACATTTCACATGAAGAAAGCTACCAAAATTCTTTGGAAATACCTAGCCTTATTGTAGGTTTAAAGCTTCACACAGATCTACCAGTAATTAAGGATGTATAAGCTCGGAATTTGGACACTGAAAAGGTAAAGGAATCTCTCAAATAGAATGCAAATTTTCTAAATATTAATTCAAACATGGAAAAGATTATCATTGAACAGAATTTTTAAGATACTAATCTGAAACCTTAAGTGCAGCTTTAAAGATAAGGATAGGTAGATGATTTACTATCGAAAAAGTGACAGAATTGTTTTGTAAAATATGCCTTTGTACAGAAATTGTAAGAAAAATATGTACACCGCGCAACCACCTCTACATAAAAAGTGCAGAACCTCGGTTATGCTTTATTCAATTTATAAAAGATTATTTACTGTTTTATTTCTGAGAACCGAAATTAAGTAAAAAGTTAATTTTAATTTAACTTACGATTAGTTCATTTTAATTTAACTTACGATTATTCTAAGTTTTAATTTACTGTCATTCTCACTTATATGTTCTTTAGATGTGCTTTATGGAACGGAAAATGTTAAAATTCGGAGTGGATATTGTTTCAGCAACAGATAGATAAAGCTTCTCGTTGTAAATTATTGTTTAAAAATAGAAGTAGAATTATGAATGTTATGAAGCATCAAAAGGACACAGGAGAAATTATGGACTTTAGAGCGGCTCGCATGTATTTTTCATTAAGTCATAGGAATGTTAAACGCACCGATCAAAATATCGTATTTATTGATTTCGCAATACGAATACTTATATTTTAAAGGAGACACTCATATAAGGCTTGAGATGCAAAAATTTTGGCTCACAAAAATTTTTAAAAAAAGATTTATTTTGAGGATTTGCAAAAAACGTTTTTCTTCATATTTATTTTTAAGAAATGCCTACTATATTTCCTAATTATTTACTTTCCGCTGAATACCTAAGAAGACTGCTAACAGTCCATTATCTTCGCATTTAATATTTCTCTAATTGCAACGAAATATATTTCTTTCATTTGTTAGAGTCTAGGAGATAAATATAATAATATTTTTCAGCGTAAAAAATGATTATTTAGGATGAATTTTGTATACATGCTTAAAATTTAAAATCAGCTAATACAAGAATTTACATATAAAGATTATTCAATATTTTCTGCATGCATGTTTTACGAAATACAATTCTAGTTTTTTTTCATTGATAATATCATTAAAAATTTTAAACATTACCAACAATCGAAAACCTTTAGTAAATTTGTCAGAAACTCAGCACCATACGTTCATTTGAAAAGCAACAAATATTGGGGCCTAGAGGTATACAAGCATTAATGAAGCACGATGTCAGATTATAATACCGAAAACGTGAATTCCATTTATTACCTTGTAAGGTTTTTTTTATATATATTTTGGTAATATAATTTAACAATTTTTCCAATCCTACCTAATTTTGCTTTGTATTCAACACATTTCAAAATTATGTTAGACACCAGGTAAAAATAAATAAGATTAAGTAAAGGTCAAGCTGTAATTGATTGCACTAACAGCCTGATCGACCGACACGAGTGTTTAGTTAGCGCTCCGGTCTGTTGGATAATAGATTTGGATTTGAATTATAAAAGTTGTTGAATTAGTAGAAACTTATACTTCTATTGACCAGCAGGGTTCCAAAGCTCTTGAAAAACACCATTGTAGAAAATATTTAAGCGATGCGGCAGCGCTTTTTACACTTTATGTCGGAGGACGCTACGACACGCGACGCGATGACGTTTATTTATTTATATCGAGAAGCAAGGTATTTTGCACTGGACTCAAATTGTAAAAGCTTATATTTTAATGAGGGTTTTATTATTAAAATCATTAGCAGCATTCACTCCAATTTTTTAAGTTTCAATTAAGTTTCTACGTTTCAAAACATATTACAATCAACTACACTTGTTTATCTTACAGCTACGTTACCCAGTTGTTGAATTTACTTCATCTTTCAGTTTGTCTAAAATTGCGGTTTTATAAATATTTGCTATTGATTTTACTTCGCTATATTTATTTGAATTTAAGTGGTTAATGCAGGTTTCATTAGGTATCGAAAGCGATCATCCATTAAGAGTTATAAAGTATGGCTGAGGTATAAAGCTTGGCTAAGGCAGATGTTATAAAGGATTTCAGAAAGGAACTCAAAAACTATTGCAAAGTAGCCTCCAAATTCGTTAAAAAGGCGCACTCAATTAGTGTTCGAGGCAAAGCTTAATCTTTTACTGAGTCAATGACAATGAATTACTAATAAAAAATCTCGAACTAGATCTTATGTAAATAAAAAAATACATTCACAAAATTTCTGCCAAATATAAATAAAGGAAATTGTACACATCGACTGTTAAAAACTTAAAACTGTTAAACTGTAAAAAACAAATTCTTCTGAAGGTATTAGCATATCAGATCTTATGAGGATCTAGATAGTATATCCCAATATGCCGCGTAAAGATGGCATTAAGGCGAAAAAAGAGAAAGCAAAGTTTAGAAACAGTATGGAAAAACGACAACTGTAGGATATGTACATGAAACTTTTATAAATGACGTCTAGTTTTGCTCGAAACGTGATGAAACTTTATACGCATCACGATATGCTAATAACCTTCTAGATGCCAGATATGAAAACATCATGCATAAGCCGCTATGCAGTTTTTGCCATTTGTAGAAAAGTAAACTCAAAATCCGTGGAAAAAGCAATACCTAAAATATTAGCATTCATACTGAACACAAAGAAACATTTAACAGCTGGTTGGTAAAAAGGTGAGAAAGAAAGGAAAACCTTTATTTTCTGATTCTCTACCATAGAACGTAAAGCATTAGCATTTAAATACTATATTGAATTGAAGAAATCGTCATGCAGTAGTTCATTTGATAGGTTGTTTAGGTCAATTTGTCATTATGAATTCATTTTCGAAATGAAAGAAGTACATATTTTTTAGATATAATATTCAGAAATTCTATGGATATTTTCTTACTCGAGCCTAGGTGCTTCTTAGCTGTTTCAACAGAAGTGGAACAGAATAAGAGGAAACTGCAGTGTACTCAAAAGCTTTA